ACATGGACTTTTGTGTCCTTTCCCATCCTTAGCATAGCACTGCGAACAAACTCCATCGTTTGAATCTTTCAGTGCTGCAGTGGGCAGAGGCCAGTGTTCATTGCATAGCAACAACATTATGTAGTTTATCATCAGGTCTACATGCAACACAGGCACTACGTGCAGGTGTCCAGTGACACTCTGAGCTGACAGTGGGATGGCTTCAACTGCTTCAGTCACTTGCTGCATCTTTTTATCTGTTTTCTTTAGAAGTTTTTCCTAGAAATAGTCCCCTTCAAAGAGTAAGAATGCTTTCATAGATTTCATTTAGCTCTTCAATTTTACTTCTAGAAAACGTGAACCATTCGCGCTCCCATTGGCTGTGTCTTTCACACCATGTCTGTTATCAGCGTGTTAGCATTAGTTGAGAGGTAAAAGTGAAAATCTTACAGAATTGTCGTATATGGATTGCCATTAGAGTCGAGTGTTGTGTGCTATTCTCATGGGGTGTGCACACATGCTTAGTGTACAGTCATGCACACACATGTGCACATGCAGTAACTAGAGATTTTTAATTTTGAATACATATCAGTTAGCAAACTCTTGACTCAGAATAATCACCTCAATAATATTTTCAGTCAAATGCCTAAACATTTGAGTTGCCTTCCTAAGGAAGACATACAGTAGGATACTTGTGCTTCTGAGACTTTCAGGTCTACTTTTGTGCAGGGCAACCGGTAATTTTGTTGTTTACTCTGAGTTCCCTAAGAGTATTGAATTCCCAACTTGGAAACCAGCAAATAATCTGTCTTGAAAGTCAGACTTGAAAGATATAACTGAAAGATTTAGTTCATAAACTGTATAGTCTTCTGATCCTGCGGAATTGAAATGAATAAACTTGAAAACACATTTAAAGATCTGAGCAACAATCACCAAATAACTTAAGACAAGCATGGGGCAGTTTTCTTTGGAAATCAGCATGGCACATGACTCTGCTCCCTGAGATGCCTCACAAAGCGCGATTCCAAGTTATGCCATTGTTCCACACAATTGCTTTAGCTTTCTAAGTAGGCACATTTCCAAATTGGAAAAAAAATCAATAGTCATTATAGAATTTGAAGTGCCTACTGATTATGTATTTTAGATGTCTTTGTTACATGCAAATTTTACAGATGTAAGCTTTTCATATGATGTCATGTTTGGTACCTGTGATGATTAGTTTTGCCACCTTTCCAATTAAAATTTTAATTCTGCAGAAAGGCTTGTAATGGAAATAAAATGTGGTTGAAGGTTTTGTAGAGGGAAGGGTAAGACTGGTTTATAAGAGAGGCAAGCCTTCTGTGGCATTTTTTAAGCTTTAAAGGAAGTTAATAAGCCAATTTAATTGAATTCAAACATGACTCAGCTTATAATATTGAATTAGTAAATAGGAAAAAAGCAATTAAATTGCCAGAGCATCCTCTAACTTCATCATCATCACTATAATACTTATTATTGTTACCATTATTATTAGGTCATAGGAAATTTTATTTTTTAGTTGTTTTAATGCTCTTGTTTTAAAATCAACGCACAATTATTTCAATGTTGTCTGTGTAATTACCCTTAGATCCGTCATGTGTAGGCATTGGGTATCTGGTAAAGTAGATAAGTAATGAACTATGCAGCGTAAGCAATGGATGTGTTTCCTTTGACATGAGCCCCTTATTGCCCAGGAGCTTCACTGGTCTTTCACCTGTGGTTGAAACAGAGTAGATGACTATTTGAGAGGAATATTGTTTATCCATTTACCTGTGGTCCTTTAGAAATGTTTGCAAAGACATGTTCATAGCTTCCTTCTCTTTAATTCTTAACTCAAAAATGTGCTTTGCTGCTTAATTCTTAATCAAAACCTTAGGGATTAATTCTTAAAATTTAGAGTATACTGAAGGATGAAAAGAAGATGGGAAATGGTATATGAATGGAGATACCTGTAAACACAATGGTTGGTACTCTGGAGTCCTTTTAAAATTATAATTTTTATATAATTGTTTTAACACGATAAGATAACAGTCTGTGGTCATCTGCTTGATAAGAGGAGTATGTGGACATCTGCTTGCATAGGCAGATGTCTTTTATATTCTCTCTCTCTCTCTCTGTGCACACACACGTGTTTGTATGCATGCAGAGTCACATCTTTGCATCTGTGTGGATGGCAGAGCTCAACCTTAGGTGTTGTTCCTCAGGTGCTAGTCATCTTGGTTTTGCAACATTTTCTTAGTAGCTTGGGACCTGCCAAATTGTTTAGGCTAGCTGGCCAGGAGCCCAGGGCTCTGCCTGTCACAGTATCCTTGGTGCTAGGTCTATAAACCTGTGCCAGTGTTCCCAATTTCATTTTTATTTTTCAGATGTGGCTTCTGTGGATCAAACTCAGGTCCCTAAGCTTACACATGGCTTTCTCCCCAGTCTTATTATTACCCATCTTAGTACTGAAAATATTTTTTGATTCAAGAGCAATGTCTAGGTTAGAGATTATACAAGTCTAAAGACAAACTTTTGTTTGTTTGTTTTGAGACAGGGTTTCTCTGTAGCTTTGGGGCCTGTCTTGGAACTCACTCTGTAGACCAGGCTGGCCCTGAACTCACAGAGATCCACCTGCCTCTGTCTCCCAAGTGCTGAGATTAAAGGCGTGCACCACCACCGCCCTGCTCAAACTTTTTGTATCGTAGAGAATGCCTCAGTCTGCTGAGAAAAACATCTGCCGTGCAACACAGGGGTTTGCTTTCTACTGAAAGGGAAGAAATCCTTTGCTGCTGCAACCCACTGTCCCCTGTCTCCTCGTAGGGGAGGTTTTGATGGCTGGCACACATGCCCTTCATCATCCTCTGCCTGTCCCGGTCTCCTCCAGTCCTCATCATCTTGCCAGTTCCCAGGTTTAGAATGTTTGAAGAGAGAGTGAATTTCCTAGGCTAACCAGGACAGTGGCAATCACATTATTCCAGGTGCCAGCCCTGTTTTCTTGTTTTAAGGTTTCCTATGGATTCCGCACAAATGTGACAGCCGTATCACTGGCCCCACTGTTGATGGTTGTGCTTGAGTAATCAGCAGATCATAGCTTTAACCGTGTGCTTGTCACGTTCTAGTTCCATATGTAAGGAAAGAGAGCCAAGACTTCTTCACAGTCTTCAGGATAAGCAACAATTCTCAGATCCTGTTATGAAAAATATTCATGTTTACTTTTATAGTCCATAGGATTTACTTATTTATATGTTCATGGGTGTTTTTTCTGCGTGTATATCTGTGTAACACGCTCATGTCTTGTGCCTACAGAGGCCAGAGGAGGGCAACAGGTCCCCTGGGAACTGGAGTTAGAGACTATTGTGAGCGGCCCTATGAGTGCTAGGAACTGAACAGGTCCTCTGGCAGAGCAGCCAGAGCTCTTATCTGCTGAGCCACGTCCCAGCCCCTGTATAGTCTGAGGTTTGTCTTGAATGTGCTGTGGCCTTCTATTCACCTTATTTTCCTTATATTTTATCATGAACCCATAACTCCATTTATTGCTTCTTATTTGAATACTGCTGCTGTTTTCTACCATCTAAGCAATGTCGGAACCTCCCATCTGTTTAGTTCTTCACATTTTTGCAGGCGCTGACTTCTTTTTACTTCAGCTAACGCATTGGTGGTAGCTCAAGGGCCTGAAAAATTCTTCAGGTGCAACTACTCATTCCTCAGAGCATTCTCATGTTTCGGAATTACACTATGTGGCTTGTGATGGCATAATCCATGGGTTTCATTTCAGGTGCATGAAGAGGCTTCTCAAAACACTTAGTTCTAATGTAGAGCTTTTAAAAAAGCTTACAGCTGGTTCTAGGTGGGCATCAAGGGCAGTCCTAAGCCCTAGCGAGGCCTTCAGTCTCCTAGAAAGATGAAATAAATTTATAACTCGACAGAGAGGATTCTAAGATTTCAACCAGAGATGAAGAAGCATTGTGGGACAAGCTTCCAGAAGGCTGTGATGTCCTGCAGGCCCCGATAGTCTGAGGAGGTCGCAAACAACGGGAAAGAAGGGAGCATATGAGGGAGGAGTGCACATGACCCTTATTGTGAGTTTCTTTCCACCTCAAACCATGACAAGATTAGATGGGGGGCTGAGGTGGGGTTCTACAGTTGTTGCTTCTCAGAAGACAAGATACGTGCTTACATTTCACGTACGCTCACGTCAGAGAGTCCATTTTACTTGGCATAAGTAGGAAACAGGCTTATGTTATGGGAAATGAATCTCCTTGCCACTTATTTCTTCCGCTTGCTGATTTGGTTAGTAACACTGAGTTGGGGAATAGTAGGAAGGGTGATGGGCAGGGCTCCTGTCCTCAGTCACGCCGTGAGCTGACTTTAACTGGTTCTTGACGCTGTCATTTCATCTGGGTACCGTCTGTCAGAACTCCTTTGAGGGGTGCATTCGTGGTCCGTCTCTGACAAGGGTTAATGAGTCTTCCGGATGATTTGGTTTTTCAACGTTCTCTTTTTCTAATTCCGTAATCCTCAGAGATGGCGGGGAATATACTTCAAAGTGAGTACTGCAGGTTTAGTTCAAACAGCAGCTACTTAAGTAGCTCAGGAAACTGCCTGTCCGCGGCTCTGGGGTGACAGTGCTGCAGATTTGTCGCAGTCTTTCCGAGTTGGGTGGAAGCAAAGCATTTTATTACAGAAAATATGTCCTGGGTCTGTATTTTCTCCTCATTCCTTACGGAGTTTTGATTCGGGGACAAAGTCCCTGTCCCTCCAGAGTGCTTCATTTTCCCTTATCCAGAGCACACATTTTCGACTCTGTCCTGTCTGGTTATTACTAGACTCCGGAGGAAGAGTGGTTTGAGCCAGGGCCCCACGTTGTGGAAGTTTCTATATCCGGTAAACTGGCTCCATTCCAGGGCAGAATAATTTATCAACGAATGAGACACCAGCCACTTCCCACTCGCCCTCTGATTGCGTTCAAAGCTCCTCCTTCCCAGCCGTGCAGAGTGCGCTGGAGTACGGGCTGACAGACAGCCTCTCTCCTCCTCTTCATTTTGTTCAATCAGTGCTTTCTGGCACCTATTGGGCTTCTTATTAATAGTAATAAGATGTTCATTCACTGAGTGTCTGGTACTACCGTGCCTCGCTCTGCCTTGCCGCTGAGGCAGGGAAGCAGACGGTAGCACTGATTTCTGAAGCATCAGGTAGTGTTTAACAGGGCGGGGGGGGGGGGAGACGACAAAATTAGCAAGTTGACTAACCACTTCCCTTCCTTGTGGCTCTTTAATATTGTAACGGACACAGGAGCGTTCAGAAGGACGGGGCTCGTTTTCCACACCACAGCACACTTTGGCAAAGGGAATGCACAACACAACGGGTGAGTTTCCTTTCGTTTAAGTTTTTGAGAGAAGTGTAAAGAGGGTGTCGTGCGGGCGCTTCTCAGCTTCCGTTTGCAGACGTCTTTAAGGGTCTGCAGGCTGTGGGAAGATGACCCTGGAATGAGGGGAGCAGAAGGGGTTCTGATCAGTAGCAATGAGACAAGGGAGTGAGTGAAAATCCAGCTCTGGGTAAGTCTTGGCTGTTCCAGGCTGGGGCAGTTCTAGAGTTGGTGGCAGCATCCATTTAGGAAGCGTGTATGTTATCATACCTGGGTTCTCAGTCTTGCTGTCAGAGCGTCAGCTGCAGAGCCTGCGTGCCTTGGACCTGAAGTGATTACCATCTTACATGGTTGAAATTGTTTCTTGCTTTCATCTTTTTGATAATGGAAAATGAATATGCAGAGCAGTGCACAGGTTCCCCGGGCACTCATAACCCAGCCCCCACAGTTAGGATCTGGTGTTGTTTCTTAAGGACTATCGCAGTGGGTACCTGCTGTGGGGTGTTGGATTATAGTATTTTGAAACATGTCCCTTGTAAGCATTAAATGAGAGAGGCCTAAAATTCCCTAAATGGCCATGCCGACCCATTGATTTTAATTTTGGAGACTGTTAAGTCGGAGGATGGAGTGATGACCGACAGGAAGTTAGACTTTGGAGGTCCAGCGAGTCAACGAGCAGGGATAGGACATCAGATATTTTTTGGGACCAGACTTACTTTAGGCAGAGTTTTGGTTTCATTATATACGGTATTCCCAAGAAGCTTCTTAACTTCTCGTGCCTGAGTTTCCTCACCTCAAATGAAGACAATAATATTCAAACATGGTGCTGGTCCTACAAACTGTTACCTGAAATTATTACAGCAAGGTGAGGTTGGGTCTATTTCTGGATACTTCACTGTTCTGGCCATTGTTCACCTTCTGATTATTTGATTTAGAGGACACATGAGGAAGATTTCCACTGAGAAGCTTGTCCTGGCCCTAAGAATCCCTCGCTCTTGCCACAGCCACCCTCCCTCCAGCTGTCCTCAGAATGTGTCTGAAAATGTGCAGTGAGCAGGCCTTGCTCATCTTCTCTGAGAGGAGAGGCAGCAGAGGGTTGTGTAAGCTCTCAGAGCCGTGAAGAACAGACTGGAGGGCAGGGACACCTTCCTGGGCCTTCTGACCACCGTGGGGAGGGGTGTGGCTAGGAATGAACCCTGCTTTACCTGGGTCTCTTTCTCTAGCCTGGATTTGGGTTTTCTTTGCCCCGAGGAAGTGTCTCCAGGCTGCCCAGGTTTTCTTCTGGTTCGGCAAACTGGCGAAATAACTCTTTTCAGTTGTAAGGACAGGGATGGGATCCTGAGGCTGGTAACAAACTGGGCGGTCAGGGTGTTCTCTGGATCGCCTTTCCTTCTTCACGTTCTGAGGCCTGCATGGCGTGATTAGGATCAGTTGACATTGGTCTGCACACAGAGCATCTTTCTACTTTAATACTTCCAACGTCTCTCTATGTTACTCATTAATGTCTTTAGATATAAAGAACTGAGGCACAGGGAGAGGAAGCAACTTTTTCTGATTAATTAGACACCACAGATTCCTCCCCCCCATGTCTGTCTGATTTGAGCACTTGCCTATAAAATAATCCATTGTTTCAAATACGTATCGTCAAAACACCCGCTAGGTTCTGCTCTCCGTCTTCCTTGAATGAGAGAGTTATCAGTAATCTTTCAGCATGAGGTGCATGGAAAAGACTCTTTTGGAAATGTTTTTTCCCCCAGAGTGAATTCTTATACTGCCTAATTAGAATCTGGAAATGTGTTGTAAACTTTGACAGATACGGAGGCTGGTGGGGCAGAGGCCCCACTGTAGCGAAATGCGTATTGATGAGGGGAAAGAAGCATTCTTTACCATCTTCAGCGGTAGATCTGCTCCGTGGCCATTTGTCTCACTTGAGCTTGTGCAGAGGGAGCGGGACGTTCACCTAAGTTCGTCTAACAGAGCGTGCAGTGCTGGGGTGTGGTCTGTATCAGCTGCACGTATCATCTATGTAAAACATGATGAACCCCGAGGAGGCACTGAAGACATAGGAGCTGGCGGGGTCTGGGGAGAACAGGGCCGAGCACAGTCAGGCATTTTAGACCCTGGATTTGGTTATCGCTCTTTTGTTCCGAAATTACTGGTGCAACTGCAGAAAATAGAACTGAATGTGTGAATGAAGGGAGAGGTGAATTTCACAGTTTCGGAGAGAGTTTTCCCTCCAACAAAGCAATAATGCTTTCACCCCCCACCTTTTTACAGAAGGGGGCAATCTTGGAGGTGGAGCTGAGGATGCAAACGTGTAAAGTAATGGCTTGTCTTCTATCAGGAAATCTGGTATAATGGACACACTTTCATTTTTCCTCATTTTTTTAAATCATTGTCCAAAGAACTTAGGTCAACTTGAGAAACTTAGGCGAGTTGTGTCTTTGTGATTGCTAGAAAGGTTTTTGAGATCTTTATTTTTTTCCACAGAGAAAGTCCCTTTTAGAGGGGGAACAAGGGAAGCAGGCATGGAGAGGGAGGATGAGAGAGAGACTGGGGGGAAACGGATGGAGCGGGAGAGAGGGATTTTGAGCACCCTTAGAGCCTGGAGCAAGCACAGGCTCCCTAGCTCTGCCAATTGCAAGCCATCTTCTGCAATTGCTCCTTCATCTGTTTCGTTCATTTCATTTTTCTGTCTTCAGTGTCTTTATCCCAGAAGAACGCATAACACACAATGTGCAAACTAGCTCCACGGTTGGAAGCTGCTCCACCTTCTGTGTTTAGAGACAGAAGTACCCTTTTGTTTATCAATGCCTGTTTTGTTGTGTGTTCATGTAATTTTTAAAGGGCTTCGTCCTGTGGACTCATGTTTCCAAATCTTGCTTTTATACCCTAATTTAAAAATATTTGTCTGTGTCTTTGTGTCACTGTTCTTTAGACATGAAATCTTTTGTTAATGTATGACGAGAAACAGAATAAAAAGTCAGCGCACTCGTGTATGTAGAAGGGGAGTTCCGTGCAGGTTTTGGCAGAATCTGGATTTCGCAAAGGATAGTTGTGTCGGGAGCTGCAAATTGTCCAGTTCAGCTCGGAGGAACTGAAAAGTTTACGCACTTAGAATGAGGTCGAGGAGAGAATAGATCATGAGGTGTAAGGCTGGATGGACAGAAACGCTCTTGAGTCTATTGCCTGGTTCAGAAATAATCAATGGTCTGGACTGACAGCAGCATCAGGGGCAGTGGTGGTGCGCGGACTGGAAACTCTCTTCTTACACGGAGGGTATGATAAGGAGCTGCCCATGAGGATGAGTGAGGGAGTGTCTGTTAGGACCTCACTGGAAACGTGCATTCACGTCATGAGCAAGCGCATGAGATGCTTCTGAAACGTTCCAGGAGGGTCTGTGCAGCCAGGGGATACTCACCCAGGGAAACGGCATCCTACAAGGGATGCCGAGGGTCCGAAGCTCAACTCTGGAAACTCCCAAAACTTAGCAGATGAGCACTGGGGAAGCAGCCAATCAGGACAAATCACAGCCTGATAAAGTGAAATCCAGAAAGCTGTGACTTCAGAGGAAGCCTAGGAAAGCATGGTCAAGACAAGGACTGGATGTCTACCGTGCGTAAAGAACTGATAAACTTTGAGAACCATAGAAGGATTGTGGGGTCTGCAGGTTCCTTCAAATTGCGTTGTTTTGACAAGCTAAGAACGTTATGCTGACTGACTTCATGAAGATGTGAAGACAAGGGGACGCCATACTGATTTCTTGAGTGGTGTTGTATTTATGTTCTTATTTCTATTGTCATGAAGTGCGCAAAATTCAAGGAAACAGAAGTAAACTGTTTATGTTATCCTAGATTTACTTCCCCAAAGTAGAAAATGCTTGCAGCCAGCACTTTCTTTGTAAGTGTATTTCCAAATGTCAAGGCTACCAGATACAGATCGTTCAGCTGTGTCCCCTGGGACACGGGTGACAGTGGCTGAGGCTATTTTTCATTGTCACAAAATGGGAAAGAGGTATGTTTTTGGCATCTGCTAGCTAAGGCCAGGGGTGCTGTTGTAGGTCCTATTCTGTGTATGGCAGCTTCCTTCTCCATCAGAGTGTTTGGCACCCAATGCCCGCAATGCCCCAAACACAAAGTATGACACACATCTGCTCAGTGCCAGTGTAAGTTGGTGGTGGTGGTAGATCACCCTCAGAAGTTGAATAAGTGAGAGATGGAGATCTTAACGACTTTCCCATGGTCTATCTACAGGTTTATGTAGTGTAAAGTGGTCTCTGCCTCTCTGTTTTTGTCTGTTTGTCCATCTGTCTCCCTCTCTCCTATCTGTTTCTGCATGTATGCCGATGTCTGTGCAGGTGTGTAGATGTGTGCAGAGTTGCGGGAACTGAAAGATGCCTAAGGCGTTATTGCTCATGGCAGTCCACTTTAATTTTGAGAGAAGGTTCCTAACTGACTTTGAGCTCACTGTGTGATTTAGGCAGGCACGCCAGTGAGCCCTCGTTATCTATTTTCTTTGACCTCTGCCCCCTGAACAGAAGTCAACATGCTAAGAACTTTTAAAACATGGTCTGGTCTTAGAGGAAGAGGACACTTGCTTGTTTTTCAGCCGTCTGGCCTCAGACCCAAAATAATCTCACAGAAACTATGTTATTTAAAACACTGCTTGGTCCATTAGCTCTAGCTTTTTATTGGCTAACACTTATATCTTAATTTAACCCATTTCTGGTAATCTGTGTATCGCCACATGGCTGTGGCTTACCTGCTAAAGTTCCGGCGTCTCTCTGCAGTGGGACTACATGACTTCTCTCTGACTCCACCTCCTTTTCCCCAGCATTCAGTTTAGTTTTCCCTGCCTAGATAAGTTCTGCCCTGCTATAGGTCCAAAGCAGTCCTTTATTAACCAGTGGTATTCACATCATACAGAGGGGAATCCCACATCAGTCTGGTGATTGGGCTCAGGTCCTGGGCTGGAAAGCAGACACATTGACCACTGTCTCT